TCATACTTTTTACAGGCGCTGTGTACAATCATTTATGAGTGCAATGACTGTTTTTCTATAGGGACAATAAGTCAAAAACAAGAAAGCAAGTTTGGAATTAAATAAATAAACAAATGTGGAAGTCTGCCCTTAAGTATTTATAATTATTTTTATAAGGTGTGGTTTATTAAGTTTGCCTGTTGGCTTATGTATTGACATATTGTTGACATCTGTTGACATATTTATTCTTAGTTATATTAAAAGTATTAATGCAATTCTGTGGCTGGAAACTTTTCTTAGATAAAACTATTTTTGACCTGGTTTTCACACATGTGGGTTACGAGCAGCATATATGTACTGTATGAGTGGGACTAAGTTTGTCTTTAAAAGTAAATCCTATAAAAGGCTGAGGTGATCTATCCAACATATGCCACTTGATATATTCCAGTGTGTGAAAACAAGTTTCAGGACATTTTTTAACACATCTAAAAAAGAAAATACAGAAGCTGTGAAAGTATATTTTTGAGTCCCACAGTAGGGCTTGTTAGTTTGGGTTATTTTTTATATATTGCCACCTTCCAGTACACTTGTGAATTCACTTAAAAAAAAAAAAATTGTGTGTTTGTAAGTCTCTTAACAGTTCTGCCCTCTCTCATTTGTCTGAACTGCTGCAGTCAGTCATATGTACCGCCAAGCTCTCTCAGCAGATTGGATATTTTTAATGGTTCCAAGGTCGCAATGCAAGATCAGCGTTAATAAAGCTTTTTCTGCTGCGGGTCCAAAACTCTGGAATAGTTTGCCGCTGCTTGTTAGGCAGGCTCCCTCACTTGCCATTTTGAAACCTCATATTAAAATACTTTAACTCGCTGGCCTTTGATCCAGAGTGAGATGTTGATTTTCACTTTATTGTGCTTTTATCCATCTATTTTTTTTATTTTTTTTTTTATAATTTTAGTTTTACTTCTGTAGATTTTTGCATTTTATCCTTTGTCCTGTGCTTGTTTGTTTCATTGTACAGCACTTTGGTCAGCCTCACTGCTGTTTTTTAAGTGCGTTACAAATAACGTGGCATGGTATGGTAAAAAGTTTCATTTTTGGTGCATTTTGTGACACTGGTACATTTGTAATCCCATTGACATCCATCATAAAGCCGTCATTCAGGCAAACAGAAAGGCTATTGTAGCCTCTGGTGAAATAATATTATCACAACAGCAAACAATGAATACTTCTTAGACCAGAAGCAATAAATGGGTGTTTGATGACAAGTGGAATAAAAATTATAAACCTGCTGACTGTTTGTGGTTAATATAAACAAAACAGTTATATGTTATTTTGAAAGCAATTAAAGCTGCCATCAAGAGAAGAAGTTTGCTTAACTTTAAAATCAGATGATTGACACTGCCTGAAGAGGATTCATAAATATTAAAATGAGCTTAAACACTTTGCCTCACGTGGTTTTTGCTGGTCAGAGAGCAGCTTGTCAAAACTAAAACCAATCTTTCATTCACATCCAATCTTGAAGCCTAGGATTTTCACTGTGTTGGGTATTAAAGAAAACACAAATGTGCTATCGTAGTTATGAGACCACAAGTCTATGTTTTAAGATGTGACGTTGTTGTGAATGAAAAACATTCACAAGAAATACCCATCTGTGCCAGAGATTAACAACCATCATTGCAATACTGTGGTACTAAAACTTAAACTATCCCAGTCTTTATGAATTCATTTATTTTTTATGTGATAAAACTTTTTTTTTTTTTTTTGGGGGGGGGGGCTAACAGAAACTGAAAATAAAATGAACTAGGAACAAAAATAACACTCAGCAGTCATTGATATGCATGAGGTTTCCATACGCCGAACTAATCAGACAGCAGAAAAGTTTTATCTGTAGATCTTGTGTTGCAGGTTTGCTTCACAATTTAGAATAAAGAAAAGGAATTTTTTTTTTTTTTTTTTTTTTGTGAATCGATACTTTGCACTGTTGAGAAGGCAGCACCTAATTAAATGTAACCGTTTTTGGTTTTAATATAATTTCTTCCGTTTATTTTTCATTGTATATGCTGTTTTTATTATTGTCTACTGTTGTCATCTGTACTCTTTGTTAAAAAACAGGTCTCTCTTGTAAATGAGTCCTCGAGACCCAATGACACTAACCTGTATAAATAAAGGTTGAATGAAAAAACAAGTTTTTTTTCAAGGTATGCATTTTAAGAAGGGTACCAAAACAATTTAGAAGAAAATATAATCAGCTCTAAATGCATTTGGCCACACTTTACATTCTATACCTGAAGAACTTGAATTTATTGTGTTGTTCAGCTCCGTTTTTCTTTTTTCTGAACTTGATCTGGAAAGCAGTTACACAATTTAATCCAACTGTATTTCTGTTATAAATGGAATGGCAATAAAAATAACTTGAGCTGTAATGTTCTGTGAAAGAAGCTGACTATGACTCATTACATGCTTCTCACTTTGTAGGTGTACTCCATCATCCAATATCAAAATAATGTTGAACAAGGCAAACATCTAGCTAATAAACAATGGCCATTCAACAAAATGATCAAACTCTGAACTAGTTGGAAAAAGAAACCATCATTCATCAATGAAGTCAAGCTTTAATCCAACCCTTGAACCAAAACGATAGTACACCACAATACTATCAGAAAACAAAAAAAGCCATTCAAACAAGAGATTAAAAACTGCCAAAAAACAACTAATAAAATCCAGTTGCATTCTACGATCATAAAAGGCTAACAGACAATTTGATAGAGAGCAGCATCCTGATGGAGATCTTCACCCAGTCTGCAACTTCCCTCACTTCACACAAACCAGTGAGATGCCTTGTTAACCTGCCAGAAGGGACCATGAATGACATCATCATCACACACACGCACGCACACACACACACACACACACACACACACACACACACACACACACA